TGGCGGCGGGGCAGGGGGGATGGTGCTGACCCGCCCTGCCTGCAGTATGCAAATTAGCCGCCATCTTTGTTGGCAGTTAATTTGCATATCATGCTGATTAGCCAATGGGAGGCGTAGCGAAGGTACAGTCAATTACCATGTTTGTCTATTATTAGATTAGACAGATTCTTTCTGTAGCACAAAAGAGCTACAAAAGAAGATAAATATGCATTCAATTGCAATCACCAAAATAACAGTTTCATTTAATCTGATTTTTACTTGTGAATGAAAGAGACATTTTACTTGTTAACACACACCTAATATTTTTTCACTATTCATGAAGAGCTACTTAAATGGCTGAAGGACATATTCTTGACAAAGTTCTTTGTTTATCAATATATTCACAGCAATTAGTTAGAATACTTTATATGAAGGTCAGGGATAGTTATAAATAACCAAAAATGAACTCCAAATATGTGTAACTCTTGTTTACAGAATCTTTATCATAGGGAATACACATGGTGGGAGAGGGTAGGAAGGGTTCTTGTAATAATTTTAATCCTAGCCTCAGCAGTGAGTTCATTGATTCCCTTTTATCCATCTTATCTTTCTTTAAAATGCAAATAACTCAAATTCCTGATACTTACATACCTACAAGTATTTCAAAAGAGAAAAATTTGGTCTACCTCACAATTTTGTCTAGGGCCAGCCAATTCTACATAGTTAAAAAGAGGCCTTTATATTGTTAAAAAAGATTTTGAAAATAAAAATGATCACATTTTGAGAAATTAATTTTGAGGATGTAGGTTCCAAAAAGAACAACTAATAACCAATTTATATAAAGAAAGAAGGTATCACATATGTTTAACTTTACTCCTTTTCTTCTTAAAGGTCCTATTTTATCTGTGGTTTAGGAATTGGATGACTAGAATGCCCAAGGAGGAAAGGGGAAAGGAACAGGGAAAGGTAATTGATGCTTTTATGACGGGAAAGTAGTCTAACGGCCCAATTGCTAAAAATGACCTCATTTCCATTTTCCCCTGTCATTTCAACATCACAATGCTTGAAACATGTCAAGTTCAAGTTCAAAGGCTTAAAATTAAAAGGTGTATAATTGTCATACCAAATTTTCTCAGTTAGGTGTCACAGAAAGGCTTGCTTTTCTGATCTTTACAAAATAACCGGGAATCTAGGATTGGATAGGTTAATTTGATTGACTTCGTTTGAAGTTAATCCTTTCTCTTTAAAATACTCTTGCATTCTCAAAGCTACTTAATTTTTATCCTAATTGGCAAGAATAGTAAGTGCTGTTAAAATTGAAATAAACTATTAAAGTTTTGAAAGACTATTTTATTTTAATCACAACTTAATAAATCATTAAGACATAAGAATGCCTTACCTGTTGTACAAATTTCTGATCAATGTATCGCTTTGCAATGCTAGGCTGGAAATCAGGGCTTTCCAAAAATCTTAAGAAGAATTCATACACCAACTATGAGAGAAAATCAAATAAAAGTTAAGATGATGCCAAAAAATATTACCCTAAGTTAATGTCATACCAAAAACACACCTCCCTTACCAACAAGTAGGGAAATTTCAGATCTCATTAGAAAAGAAATAAGTTGTAACAGTTTTTTAAAACTAAATATACACAATTTGGTCTCATAAGCTGTAAATTTTGAGAATTGTTTATTGCTTTACATCACTCATCGAAATGTTAAATTACAGGAGCTAGAAAATAAACATGGTGCCTATTAAATATTTAATTAAGAAGACTACTTTTCAGCCCATATTCACTGGGAAAATATTTTCTCCAGTGGACCACTAAACTACCTCAATTTAATCTCCAGAGTTTGTTAAATACAGAATAAAAAACTCCATCCAGATAAGAATAAACAGGATTATAAGGGGCAGTGTATGAATAACAATAAAGTAAAATAAAAAATTTTCAGGTCTGCCCTAACTGGTTTGGCTCAGTGGATAGAGCGTCTGCCTGCGGACTGAAAGGTCCTGGGTTCGATTCCGGTCGGGGGCATGTACCTTGGTTGTGGGTGCATCCCCAGTAGGGGGTGTGCAGGAGGCAGCTGATCGATGTTTCTCTCTCATCGATGTTTCTAGCTCTCTATCCCTCTCCCTTACTCTCTGGAAAAAATCAATAAAAAAATATTTTAAAAAATTTTTTTTTCAGGTCTTTATTTAAAACTATAGTAGGGGGAAAAGAGTTAAATTGAAACCAGCATACCTTATCCACACTTGGGAAATAATGAACCAAATTATAGAAATACAGAGCTCAGGAAGGAATGTCTGTTCACCACAGTGAGTAAATTAGAAGTTACATCAGGCCTTCTACTTAAAAAGTGCCAGGATCTTAAAAGTAACAGCAAGCCCGACCAGTGTGGCTCAGTGGTTGAGCACTGACCTATTTTCATAGGAGGTCACAGTTCGATTCCCGGTCAGGGCACATGCCTGGTTTGCAGGCTTGATCCCTAGCGGGGGGGTGTGCAGGAGGCAGCCGATCGATGATTCTGTCTCATCACTGATGTTTCTATCTCTCTCCCTTCTCTTCCTCTCTGAAATCAATAAAAATATATATATTTTAAAAAGTAATAGCAAATGTTCACTTGCTGCCACAAATCAGAAAAATACTATTCAGTCAACTTGCCTCCATTACACCTACTCTATCTTTCAAGGAGAAAGGCAAATACACTAAAGTTTTTTGTTGTTGTAATCTAACAGCTATGAAAGGCAGAAGTATAGCCCAAAATGTACCTCAACTTATTAGCTATTAAACTATATATCAATCTGGCACCCTAAAAATAAAAAAAAAAGGATTTGATCCCAAAGTAAAAATAGTCATTCAATAAACATTTAGGCCACATGTCTGTGCCACTAAAGTAGTGATAAAAATAATGAAAAATAATGCACAATCTGCCTGTATTCCAGGCCAATACAGCAGGCAAGCCTCCCTAATTATCTAAAACGGGAGTGGGGAACATCCGGCCCACAGAATCATTTGGTCTGGCCCTGCTGAGGCATTAGGGGTGACGTAATTAAATGTCTGACCAAATATAGCAGGCTAATTTTTTAATTGATAATTTTGTATAACCCTTGAATGATCCAAATGGCCTTTGGCAGAAAAAAGGTTCACCCCTGATCTAAAAGGTATACAGAAAATTACTTTTTTTTTTTTTTTAAGAGTATGTGTTTTTTTCATTTGAGAGAGAAACATCAATTGATAAGCTGCCTCCTGCATGCCACCTACTGGAGATCGAGCCCACAGCCTGGCATGTGCCATGACTGGGAATCCAACCAGCAACCTCTTGGTGCATGGGACTACGCTCAACCAACTGAACCACACAGGCCAGGGCAGAAAACTACTCTTGTTGGTCCTCAATAAATATAAAGCAATAGCCGAAACTGGTTTGGCTCAGTGGATAGAGCATCGGCCTTCGGACTGAAAGGTCCCAGGTTTGATTCCGGTCAAGGGCATGTACCTGGGTTGCGGGCACATCCCTAGTAGGAGATGTGCAGGAGGCAGCTGATCGATGTTTCTCTCTCATCGATGTTTCTAACTCTCTATCTCTCTCCCTTCCTCTCTGTAAAAAATCAATGAAATATATTTTTTAAAAAATACAAAAATATATAAAGCAATAATACTTAGGGGGAAAAACTGTTGCTCATTAATAATCATGAAATACTATAAGATACGACTAATCTCCAACTACTAAAATGACATTTCTTCTGTCCCTTCTTTTGTTTATTCCATTCTTCCATTGCTCATTAGCATTTCCATTACAGTGTGAAAAAGTAAAGAGATACTAGTAAACTGAAAATTAGTACATTTTTAGGAAATTCATGAAAAGGACTAGAGGAACAGAAATTTGAAAGGTTTTGAAATTACATGTGCTTATTCTCTCATAATTTAACGTTTGTTTTTTGTCCTGTCAAATTAATTTCTAGCATCAAGGATTTAATAAGTTAAATGTAAAATGTAAACTTTTAGTATAAGACAAAATTTTGGTGAATTGATTCGAAGTACATGAACAACAACAAGGAAAGAAACTTTCCTTGAACAAATTTCTTCAGTGCTGCAACTCTCCATATTCCCATTTATCAGAGCAGTTTTAATATTCCACTCTAAAAAAAGACAATTAAGTAATGATGTAGCAACAATATACTGACAAATCTATAAATCAGCTTATTCAGTAGTTTCTGAGTTCCTAACCATCTAATGGCCAAATTTTAGAACTGTATACCAAATTTTAGTTACTAGAAAGATTTTAAATTACATATATATATATGTAATTAGAGCAGAGCATGTAAGTCAAGGGATCATGAATGAATGTAAATTTCTTACATGTGTATCTGTGTATTTGTTTGGGGAGAAAACTCAACTTATAAAAATCTTATTCTGAAAGCAATTCACCACCTCCTAAAATGTTAAGAACTATTAGTTTCAGAAAATTTATTTAATATCTCAAACCATATCAGTGAAATAGAAAGCATACTGTTTATTTGGCTGAATTTCCACTATTAATTTCCATAGGCAGATAAAAATACCTTAATTTTTCAAATTGTCCCCTTGACCGGGCGTTTGACCAGGGGGTGGGTCCCTCTCCCCAGCCGGCCCAGCCCGATTGGCCCCAATCGGGGTGGGCCAGCTAGACCCCACCCATGCACAAATTTGTGCACTGGGCTCTAGTATAATGTATAAAGAGCTAATTTTTCTGACAATAGTCCCACAAAGGAGTGGGATGGCAATGAAGGTATATTGGACCAAAGTTTGTTTGTTTGTTTTTTTTCTTAAATATTTTATTGATTTTTTACAGAGAGGAAGGGAGAGAGATAGAGAGTTAGAAACATCGATGAGAGAGAAACATCGATCAGCCGCCTCCTGCACATCTCCCACTGGGGACATGCCCGCAACCCAGGCACATGCCCCTGACCGGAATCGAACCTGGGACCCCTCAGTCCGCAGGCCGATGCTCTATCCACTGAGCCAAACCGGTTTCGGCTGGACCAAAGTTTTGAGCATTACCGAACTAGTATTCAACCAAACTAGATTGTTTTAAGATGCTAATTTCAATCCCTAAGGTAATAAATAAAAAACTATAAAGAAACATGGCAATTAAAATAGTACCGTAGAAAATACCTATTTATTATAAAAGGCAGTAATGGAGGAGGAGTAAAGGGACAAAAAAAATGTAAGACATATAGGAAATGACAAAATGGAAGATGCAAATCCTACCCTATCTGTAATTACATTACATGAAAATGTATTAAATATTCCAGTCAAATGACATATTGTCAAAATTGATTTTTTTAAAAACCGTGATCCAACCACATGCTGTTTATAAGAAACACAATTTAGATTCAAAGAAACAATCAGATTAAAAGTAAAAGAATGGAAAAGATGTATCATGCAAACAGTAGCCAAAGGAGAATTGAATGGCCATACTAATATCAGACAAAATAAACACAGAACCTCTTACTAAAGTTATAATGATAAAAGCCACCCATTGAGAAAGATGTAACAACTATAAATATATGTAGCTAACAATATGGCCCCAGAAATACATAAAGCAAAAACTAATAGGACTGAAGGTAGAAATAGATGAGTTAACAACAATAGTTAGAGACTTCAATATCTCACTTTCAATAATGGATAGAACTAAACAGAAGATCAACAGGGAAATAGAAGACTTGAATAACATCATAAACAAACAAGAGCTAACATTTCTATAGGATACTCCACCCAACAGCAACAGAATACACATTCTTCTGAAGCACACATGAAACATACTCCAGGATAGACTGCTCTGCCATAAAACAAGCCTCTAAATTCAAAAGGATTGAAAACACTCAAATTATATTTATTATCCAACCACAATAGAATAAAATTAGAAATCAATAACAAATGTGGGAGCCACAAATCTGTAGAAATTAAACACATCCCAAATTAACTAATGAGTCAAAAAAGAAATCACAAGGGAAATTAGAAAAATATTTTGAGATGAATGAAACAAAAAACACAACGTATCAAAACTATGGGCAACAAATGTTAAAGCAAAAACTTGTACATGAATGTTCTTAACAGGTCTAATCTCAATAGCCAAAAAAGTAGAAACCACCCTAATGTCTATCAAGTGATTAATGGATAAATGAATGGAGTATATTCAGCCATTAAAAGTTATATGCTGATGCCTGCTACAACACTGATTAACCTTGCAAATATGTTGCCCAGCTACCTGTTTCAACAAGCCTTCCAAGTGAAGTGGTTCTGAGCACACAGACATTTGAGGAAGCTCCGTTCCAGGCAGAACAGGCAACTCACCTTTTCCAAAGACCCTGTCCACTGCCCTGCCTCTGCACAGAATTCCTGAGATGCCTTTCTCTCTTCTTGGTAAAATCCTGCCTATATTCCAAGGTCCAGTTAGAGACACTGCTTTTTCCAGGATGCCATTCCTGATCCTTTCTTTCCTTGTTGGTAAATCCTCACCGAGGTTATTTTTTTCCACTGATTTTTTTTTTTTAGGGAGAGATCAAAGAGAGGGAAAGACAAGAGAGAAACATCTATGTGAGAAAAACATCGATTGGTTGCCTCCTGCACAAGTCCTGAGCCCCTGCTGGCCGTGGAGGAGCCTGCAACCAAGGTACATGCCGCCTTTGACTGAATCAAACCCAAGACCCTATGGTCTGCAGGCCGACACTCCATCCACTGAGACAAACCGGCTAGGGCTGTTAAGTATATCTTATCACAATTTTAAAAAGTAAAAAGCAGTATTTTGGGAAAAGAAAATAAGGTTAAAAAACTTAGACACTCTGATCAGAGAGAGAGACAGAGAGAGAGCGCGCCATGATTTCAGCAGAATATAATAAATATAAAAACTGTCAATACATAATTATGTTCCATACTTGTATGTGAGGCCAAGAAGCCTCAAGTGTGGGTTCATCCTCCTCTGGATCAAAATCTGGATTATCACTTGGAGGAAGAGTACGGAAGATATTTGCACTGATCTGTAAAGAAAAATAAATTTAGATTTATGTTCTTTGTTGTGTAATTGAACTCAACAATGCAAAATTAAATGTTCTTAAGATAACTTTATTTAAGAAAAAAGTTAAGTTGTGGCTATAAGCTTAGTTCAAAAAGCTAGAAACCGCTTCAAAATATGAAGTCAGGTACTGTATTTGTTTTTCTCTTTTCTCTATGCAAACTATTCTTCAGATGCCAAACTATGGAAGATTACAGATTACCTCTGGATTCCTCTTCCTTAAATTACAAATTGTTCTTTCCAAGTTTTGCTTTTAAAAAAGTTGGTCAGGAGAAGGAAGTTTGGGGGGAATGCATAGAGTTCTTAACTCTACCTATCCTTAACTTGATTCTCTTCACCTTTCCACAACTCCCCCCATATTCTAACCCAGCCATTTCCTTACCCTATAACCCAAAGAGTTTGGTAAAATATTTCCATTCATATATATATATACCACACACACTAAAAAAGAGGAAGGAGGTGGTAGAATGTCTTCACTACTATTATAGACATAGTTTATAATACCTCATGATGATTTAATTTACTGTATTTCATCTACTCAGACCTTTTAAAAAATTAATCTCTGAAATCAGAATGTGATTTGAGAGTTTTCATTTCACATCAATGAAATACAGTATTTATAATTTCATCTTTCACATTGTCTGTCTCAGTACCAAGGTAAACTATATATCCTTTTTCTCTAGCAAAGGGTAGATTGTGGTTCCAACTCACAATTATTTAAAGAATGAACAAACTAACAGACCAAATGGTTAGTCAACATTTAAGACCATAGTATTGAGATAAACTATTTGAGATAAACTATTTGGGGAATAGAGGATGAAACAAAGAGTATTTGGTGGTACAAGCAAATTTCCAACCATCTTATGAAGTGGCATCTATGGTAAGCCAAAAAAACTGCTAACAGTCAATTACTATAATCATAGACTTAGAAAAAGACATACACACACCCCCTCCACACACACTTTTTTACATGGGCAAAAAAAATTAAATCCCAAAATTTATTAGTTTATAGCAATTCCAGAATCATTTGACTCAAATATTTGACTACTTTCAATAATATCTAAGTCAACAACCTCATATAGATAAATAAAGTATCTTTACCAGGACTTTCAAAATTCCTGAATACAAACCATTTGAAATCAGGGGAAATATTGGTGGGAATATTGCTTTTCTCCCTGAAAATGTTTTTAAGCAATAAACACAAAATAAAAAACAAAACAAAACAAGAGGCTATCAATATTTACTATTTATATTCCCAAACTATCACCTTTTACTGTCTTTGGGAGTTTAGAAAGCCAACTTCATTTTAATTAATGTTCTCTCCATAGTTAAGCTTTTTTTAAAAAAAAAACACAAAAACATTTTATTGATTTTTTACAGAGAGGAAGGGAGAGGGATAGAGAGTTAGAAACATCAATGAGAGAGAAACATCGATCAGCTGCCTTCTGCACACCTCCTCCTGGGGATGTGCCCGCAACCAAGGTACATGCCCTTGACCTTTCAGTCCGCAGGCCGATGCTCTATCCACTAAGCCAAACCTGCCAGGGCTCTATAGCTAATCTTTTTAAAAAAATTTAAGGGCCCTAACCAGTTTGGCTCAGTGGATAGAGTGTCGGCCTGTGGACTGGGGTCCCAGGTTCGATTCCGGTCAAGGGCATGTACCTTGGTTGTGGGCACATCCCCAGTAGAGGTTGTGCAGGAGGCAGCTCTCCTTGATGTTTCTCTCTCATCGATGTTTCTAACTCTCTATCCCTCTCCCTTCCTCTCTGTAAAAAAATCAACAAGATATATATTTTTAAAAAGAAATGTAAGGCTTTTATTCATTTAAAAAACACACACAAATCCACCAAAATGCCCTAAGTCCTTTTAACTGGTCTTAGTACAATGTGATAAAGAAAACCAATTAGTATATCAGGGTGAGATTTAACTTTCCTACACATTTTGCTCTTCCCCCAGAACATATAGTAGGAAAGGGGAAGGAAATGAAGGCAACTATAAGTTATACTTGCTATATAAAAAATTCTATACTCTGGAGACATTTAAGCTTAAATTATGTACTCAGTGACTCTAATTATTTTAACTGATTTTTCTGTATTTTGTTAGTATGCATACAAAAATCACAAATTCTAAACAAATGTCTATTGTCTGATGGAGAATAAGGTTGAATTATCAATAAATAGTATCCTAAGCAATCTTGCTTTAACAAAGTTGGCAGTATTTTTCACATCAGATATTTTAAACATTTATATTATTTAACTTCTTATCCTGAGTTTTGATTAAAATTCAAGTGTTATAGAAACTAAAAATATTGTATTAAAAAATGTCCTAAATAAGAATTTTTTTTTAGGCCTGACTCCTTTATCCACCACTGAAATGTGGAGAGCCCCATAGTTTTCCATTGGGCTTCTCTTCTCCCTTCCAGTGGTTCTCAACCTTCCTAATGCTGTGACCCTTTAATACAGTTAGTTCCTCATGTTGTGGTGACCCCCAACCATAAAATTATTTTCGTTGCTACTTCATAACTGTAATTTTGCTACTGCTATGAATCGTAATGTAAATATCTGATATGCTATATGTGTTTTCTGATGGTCGCGACCCACAGGTTGAGAACCGCTGCTTTAGACTTTCTCTCTCAGTGACTATAAGCCCCATAACATTAATTATCTAACTATCTGTATAATCTTGAGCCTATATCTTTCTCCTAACCTCTACATCTGCATTACCCAGTATGGTAGCCACCAGCCATTGTGGCTATTGAATTCCCCAACTATTATAAGCAATGTCAGCATTATTGGAATGAATGAATAATCTTTCAAATGGACTATCTATTGAGCAAAGCAATTATTGTACACTTAAATAAGACTTATTAATTCACATTTACACCTCAGATCTTACTTGAATTTATATAAATCTGAGGAACATAAGTCTAGAGGCTTACCATTTTTACTATATCAGAATACGCTGATTCAACAATTACACCACGATTAGTTGAAACATACTCAACCAGTTCATTCAGTGTTGCTCTCTTAATTTCTTTGCTCTTCAAGTCTGAAACAGAGTCCATGAAATCAAACAGTACACAACACTGTTGCAACTTCTGACAGAAGAGTTCTTGTTGTTCATTTGAAGTGGCATCTATAAACAAAAATAAAGAAAAACTTAGAAATAACCTACTCAGTTGATGAACAAGAATAGATGGATCTAAAGACAAATGGTAGGGGAGGGAGGGGGTTAGGGAGCAACCAAAGACTTGTATGCATGCATATTCACATAACCAATGGACACAGGGGGCTTGCCTGGGGTGGGAATGGCTGGGGGCGGGGTGTCAATTGAGGAAAAAGGAGACATGTAAAACTTTAGGCAATAAAAGAAAAAAAAAAGAACCTACTCAGAAGTTACCTTTATATGCTTATTCATTTTGTAGAAACTATTCACATACATAAAACTTTTTCCAAAATTCTAGTGAGAAAATTTCCCATTTAATCCCAACATTCATTCCAAAAAATGGGATTTATACTGGACTCTTCCTTCATGCTCACTACCCACAATCAAGCATTAAATGCTATTGATTCTGTATCTATTATATATCTGGAATCTATCCTTTTCTTGTCATTTGCACTGCCATTTTAATGATTGTCATCATCTCTCATCTAGATTACAGGAATAATATCCTAACTGCTCCTCTTGCCTGGTGCCATAACCACTACAACTCCTGATTTATTCGCTCAACTACCTCAAAAGCTAAAAGCTTGCTAAAATAAGAATCAATCTGATCATACTCAGTATTTTTCAAGTATCTTCCACAAATTACAGAATGAAGCTCAAACTTCTGAAGATCATATACAAAATGCAGCTGTCTACTGTCAAGTCATCTCTTGACACTTTCTAGCATGCAACTTCACTTTGGGTAAACCATACTCCTGGAAATTTCCTGACAATTTTACTTTTTCCTCTATCTTGAATGACCTTTTCCCACATTCCCACTATAGGAACTCTCTCCATTTATTAAGTTTCCTCATATGCATATTCCCCTCTCAAAAGCTTTCTCTATGGCACTAAAGCTAAATTGGTTGGTTACTCCACTTTTACCCAAATGTATCATAGGTGCATATCTCTATTTTAGTATTTACTAGAGGCCCAGTGCAAGAATTCGTGCATGGGTGGGGTCTGGCTGGCCCAGCCCCAATCGGCCGAGTGGGGCCTAGCCTGTCAGGAGGAGGAGACGGGAAGAAGTTGGCCGGTGGGCCCGTCCCAATCATGGCCCAAATCAGGGCCAGGTCGCCTGGGGGGAGGAGCCCCGGGCGAATGGCTGGCAGGCCCCGCCCCTGATTGGTGGTGGTGGGGGCGATCGGGGGTGGAGCTGGCTGGTGGGAGGGGCTGCAGGAGGTTGGCAGGCTGGCCCCACCCCCTATATGAGTGTTACTGTTTCTTCACCATAATGGCCATGGTTGTTTAGTGGATACTCTTTAAATGGACTCATTGCTCCCTGTCAGTCCTTTTGCCACAGCTTCTCCAATGCTGAATTCTTTGTTGATATGACACAGTAGTTTATCACACCTGCACACCCCTTCCTCAGGAGGATTTGGATACTATATATTCTAAGTTTCTTCATTCTGTTAAATTTCTTACATCATACCTTGACTGGATATAACACTACTGAGTCACTCTTTCTTCCTTCCCTCTCCCTGTAGTGATCGTTCCATTGTCTTCAACAGTTAGGGTTTGGAGAACTGGCCTCCCCGAGGAAGGAGAAGAAATGAAAAGGGTAGCGGTCGTACGCCAATTACCATGTTTCTCTTTTATTAGTGTAGATAGTTTTTTGTGGCAATTATATTTTACATGTGTAACACTCCTAGAAAATATGAGGCCCTTAAAGACAGGAAACAAGTGTTATCTTTATCTCTCCCTCCCCAACCTCCCTCTATCTTGCATCTAGCACAGTTATCTGGCACAAAATAGGCATTCAATAAATGTTGATTGTTTTATCTTCAACTTATTACAAAAATATGGGCACATTATGTTGATTTGATTGTAACCTATTAAATCCTTTTGTTTCCAACATTCAAAAATAATAATAAAACTTTAATTCCAAACTTTCAAGTCTGTAAATAAGGACTTTCAATTAATTTAAATTTATTGAACTGATATTACATTTTTAAAAATCATATACTTCAATACTAATATTTAGCTCATGATATAAGAAACTATTCCTTCATTCAAGACCAGTACCTACTTTATATAAGATACTGGTAGGACTCATCATTAAAATGGTAATGTAACCAAGGGTGCCTATGCTTTTTATGTTTCTATTGATTTTGGAGAAAGAGGAAGGGAGAGGGAGAAATATTGATTGGCTGCCTCCTGGGGATCAAGTCTGCAACCCAAACATGTGTCCTGACCAGGAGTGGAACCGGGGACTTCTCGATGCAGGGGAGGACACCCAACCACCCAACCGAGGCACACTGGCCAGGGCATATGACTATGCTTTTTAAATTCTTGGGGGATAGAAAGCTAGTGAAATTACTGTGCAACTATATTCAATTTGCTGTTCTTAAAAAGTTGACTTAAAACCCTGGCTGGTGTAGCTCAGTTGGTTGGAGTGCTGCCCTGTACACTGAAAGGTCAAGGGTTTGATTCCCAGTCAAGGCACACACCTGGGTTGTGGGTGTATAAGGGAGGCAACTGATCAATGTTTATTTCTCATATCAATGTTTCTCTCTCTCTCCTCCTTCTTCTCCCTCCTCCCCTCTCTCTCTTCTCCTCTCTCTAAATATCAGTGTACCTGTCATCGGGTGAGAATTTTTTAAAAAGCTGATTTAGATAAGGTACTGCTAAAATGTAGCAGGTTAGATATCCTAAACCCATCTTGATTGGTCAATTTACTCAATAATAACTTAAAACAATTTTTACAATAAAACAGATGTGAATATTATAAAGAATGACAAAATGCACATGACTTCTGAAGTAAAGACATAAAGATTCTTAAAATTTTTTAAATTTGCTGCAGTCCATTTGTGGCTATGCCAGAAATGTCCCTGTGGTAGTTCCACACTTACAAAGGACTTGTATAACACTCTCTGTTCCAAATTCAATAATGGCCCTTTGCTACAT